CCAGGCATCCATCCAGGCATCCATCCATCCATCCAGGCATCCATCCATCCATCCATCCATCCATCCAGGCATCCATCCATCCATCCAGACATCCATCCATCCATCCATCCATCCATCCAGGCATCCAGCCAGCCAGCCATGCATGCATCCATCCATCCATCCATCCATCCATCCATCCTTAGTCCCTGTAAGGTGTCATCAATCAGCTCTTAGCCCTTGACAAGGTGTGGGGAATGTTCTCCAGCCATTTAGTGCCCTCAGATAAAACTCCCAGGCACAGCCAAGGGCTGGAGCAGGCAGGGTGTGCCTTAGATGGTGGTGGCTACCTTCCCTAGGCTCCTCAGCCTGGTGCCCACACCTGCTACAGTTACAAGGGGACCCCTAAGAACCGTCCCTGAATATGGGATGCCCTGCTTACAAGCAACTCACAGAGCAGAGATGGGGGATATTCCTCATCCTGCTAATCAAGCTGCACCACCTGCTCAGGCCACAGCTCTGCCCACACCTCTTGATGAGTCAGGGACATCCATGGAGCCACCTACAGAACTCTAGCATGACGATCCCAGTTACTCCCCCTGCACGCTGCACTGCTTCGTGTGCCTGCACCTTGGCTTATGTGGGTCCTCTGCCTGGAAGAGCCTTCCCACCCTTTCTTACCTGCCTACTTATATCCCACTCATCCTTTAAGACCTAGCTCAGCACCACCTCCTCCAGGCAGCCTTTCTTGAGCCCTCTGAGGGAGCTGAGTGCCTGCTCTCTGTCCCCACAGCAGCTTGCCCTGCACACTTCTATCGTTCCATGAGTCCCCACACGTGACCCCAGGGAGATCCTGAGTTCCCTACCCAGGGCCTGGGTCTGACCCCACTGCCTCTCAGAGCAGACCTGGCCTGGCCCAGAGGAGGGGCTCAACAGACACGAGTTTGTACTTTTGCTTTGAAAACGTTTCCTTTTATTTTCCTTACAAGAGCGATACATTATTAATGTATTTATGAAGGACTGGGTGGAAACTCAAAAGGAGAATTTTCCATCCCCAGAGGGTAAGCATTTGGTCTCTGTGAATTTGTTTGGCTGGGTTCATTCTTTTGTGTCTGTGTGAATCAGGAATCATGTGTCAGGCAGCCCCCCCTGAGTGTTTTTTTCCAGTTCAGATCCAGGAAGTGCAAAGAAAACACAGAAGGCCCTGTGGGCCCCTATGGGGCAGACCGTTTCCCCTGAAAATGTCACTTCAAGCTGCTCTAGTGCCCCCAACCCCACATGGCACCCTGGCATTAACAGGAACCAGGAAACTTCTGAGCCACAGAAACAGAATGGAGTCAGAAAGACCCAGGCTCATGTCCAAGGTCATCTCTTAGCTGGGTGAGCTGGGCAAGCCACCTCCCTTGTTGGAATCCCAGCTCCCTCATGTGTGAAGTGGGGACAACATCAACCCAGGGAGGTGTTGGAGAGAAACGGGGTGGCAGGAGGGAGAAAGAGAGACACAGAGGGAGAGACAGGGCTCTGGATGCACATGCTTCTCCAAAGTGAGGGGCTCTGGGCCTCAGCCCCTGGCTGCCTGGGGACTCATCACAACCACTCGCCCCACCTGAGCTGCTATGTCCAGGCTCGAGGCTCAGGAACCTTCCCGCCTTGGGATTGCCTTCGCTTCTCCCCAGACCAACCCTGTAACCCAGGGTCTCAGAGTGTGGTCACCCAGAACATGTCAGAAATGCCACTTCGGCTCAACTCAGGTCTCTGGAGTCAGGTACCCTGGGGTGGGCTTTGCACCCTGTGGTTTACGATGCCCTGAGGTGATTCAGATGCCTCTGGATTTGGGGACCTGCTGCCCCAACAAAGCACTGCATCGGCCTGCCCGGTCGTTCATTCGTTCGTTCTACAAGAATTTACCACTATGTTCCCTCTGCTGGTTGCTGGGAAAGCAGACACAAAAGACCGGGTTCCTGGTCTTGCATTTAGCGATCCATACCTTTGGGAGGCCAGGCTAGGAAAGTGAGGCCTTCAGGTGCACGAGACTGCTTCTGGACTGGTTAGGAGTGGCCTCAGGGTCAGCGGCCCAGCCTGACCTCGCACGGGAACCCCTCCTCCATGGGCCCACGTCAGAGGCTTCCTCCTTGCAGGGCTGGGCAGCTCTGCAGAGGGCAAGGTCTTCCTTACAGTGAACCAGAATCTGCTTTCGTGACCTCTGCCTTTTGGCCTGCTTCTGTCTCTCAGGGGGCCGAGGGCGTTGTCTGTCTCCCTCCTCCAGGAAGCCATTCAGGTGTGAGCCATTCATGCCCCCCCCAGTCTTCTCCCCTCCAGGCCAAACACCCCAGCTCCCTCCACGGTTTCTCAGCCTTTGCGGCCCTCTCAGCCTCCCGCCTGCCCCCAGGTGAAGCTGCTGCTCACGGGCAAGTCCCTTCAGGCCTGGGATTTAGACATCAAGTCAGGGCTTTGGCTCCAATTTCCCATGATCCAAATTATTTTGGAAAATTCTCCCAGAAGGTGCTTCAGGCTCAAGGAGGAGCAGGGGATGAAGAGGTGGGTTTGAGTCTGCGATTGGGGTGAGTGGGTAGGGCCGTGGGAACTGAGGCCCCAAGAGAGAACGGCAGAGTCATTGAGTCCTTCTGTTTTCAAACAATAATCATCCTAAAATAATCCACATGCCAAAGAGCCACATTTTGTGGTGGCAAATTTTGCTCCCCTACATAGGCAGGCTCTGCCTCTGGCTGTTAACAGGCAGCAGTGGTCCTGGCCCTGGGCTGAAAGCCTGAAAGCCCTGCCTCTCCTGCAGGGAGTGGCCAGCTGGGGTGTGTTACCTTAGCAATGGATGGAAGGGCCTGAGCCCAGTCCTGCTCCCCAGGTGCTCTGGAGGGTCCAACTGCCTCCCTTAGGTAATGTCTGTGGACCTCACATGAGTTGAGGATGTACAGCACACAGGCCAAGGCACAGCCTCCCCAGTTAGAAACATCTAGAACAGAAAAAGTTTCTATCATAGAATTGGAAAGCTTATGGGGTCCATCACCCTGCCTCTAAGCAGCAGAACTCATCTCAAAGAGTGGCCCCAAGGGGGGTGTGGGTGGCTCAGTAGGTTGAGTGTCCAACTTCGGCGACCATAAAACCTATGACCCACAAGGAACGGTATGGCCATAGACCACCCCTCATACAATGGAAACAAGCCAATCAGGAATGGACCACCCAGCATCTAGAGTTATCCAGTCAATAAGGGTAGGACCTGAGAAGAAACAAGAGGGAAGGGAAGGGGCTGACCAAAACCTTATAAAATAAAGACCCTTGTCTATAGTTGGGGCATTCACTTTTGAATGCTCCTTCTCTGTAAAGAGGACTTTCCTATTACTCTTACTTGGTAAGTAAGAGTAATCTTATAGTCTAATAAACTATTGCCTGCTGCTCATTTTGTGTCCACATCTTCATTCTTCAAAGCAGTGAGACAACAAACCCCGGGTATTGAGGTAAAAAAAAATTCTGCAACACGGACAGTTCAGAGCCTGGAGCCTGCTTCAGATTCTGTGTCTCCCTCTCTCTCTGCCCCTCCCCCACTCACACTCTGTCTCTCTCAAAAATAAATAAACATTAAAAATAAAAAAAAAAAAAACAGACCAGTGGCACCAGGAGCTCCTGGGAACTTGTTAGAAACACAGATTCTTGGGCCCCAGCGCAGACCTGGACCTGACTGGCCCGCCATGTGAATACTCACCAGTGATGACAGCAAAGTCAGCCTCCACATCACAGGCAATCACATCCCCATTTTGTATGTGTCTTTTCACAGCCTCCTTGACTTTGTCCTTCCCAAGCTGATTGCCCCATCACCAACCCCTGAAGGCAAGGGGAACCAAGTCAGTGGGTGTATAGGATTGGGCAAAATGGGGGCTCGTTGTGGGGCAGGACGGTCCCCCCCACATGTGTTTTGTTGCCTCAGGTTAGGGAAAAGGGTTGCTTCTGGGTACATTTTCAGACAACTAGGAGATGTACTTCTCCTTCAGCTCTTCTAGGAACTTCTTTAGTTAAAATTGAGTTGAGGGGCGCCTGGGTGGCTCAGCCGGTTAAGTGCCCAACTTCGGTTCAGGTCATGATCCCACAGTTCATGGGTTCGAGCCCTGTGTTGGTCCCTGGGCTGAGGGCTCAGAGCCTGGAGCCCCTGCTTCAGATTCTATGTCTCCCTCTCTCCCTGCCCCTCCCTCACTAGTGCTCTCTCTCTCTCTCTCTCTCAAAAATAAATAAAACATACAAAGTTTTTTTAAAAAAGTGAGTTGAAGTTTGGAACTCACCAGAATGTGGCCAGTGCCCTACTGAGTCATGCTCTCTAGTCACAGATGGAATACCCCCTATGCTGATGTTACCAAGCCCGAGGGAGACACAGCTGTGGTTCCTCAACTTTTGAGTGACTCCTGCTTACAGAGGGGCTTCAAGGAAGGCCCTGAACCCCATCCATGTGCTGGGGAGCTGATACAGATTGTAAAGGTCAATTCTGTAATTTAATGTAAATTAAAGACTGAGCCTGGGTGGCTCAGTCGGTTGGGTGTCCAACTTCGGCTCAGGTCATGATCTCACAGTTCGTGAGTTTGAGCCCCACATCAGGCTCTGTGCTGAGAGCTCAGAGCCTGGAGCCTGCTTCAGATTCTGTGTCTCCCTCTCTCTCTGCCCCTCCCCCACTCATGCTCTGTCTCTCTCTCAAAAATAAATAAACATTAAAAAAAAAAAAGAGTATGAAATATATGAGTGTCAGTTAATCTACACCAGAAGGGTGCCTGGTTGCTTGTGGAGTAGCCTAATGAGGAATACATACCACAGGGGTGGTTGGTTAGCACTGGAAAGAGACCACGGCCTAAAGGCGATCTGATAAGCAGCACCAGAGGGTTTGTTAATTAGCACAATAAATGCTAGCACAAATACGTTAGAATAAATCAATATCAGAAATGATTTAATTCTTCTGTGAAAGGAATGGTGTTGAAGATAGGTGAACTGGCTAAAAATAATTACCAGGCCGCACCACCCTCACAGGAACAGGATGCAAAAAAATCTAACCAGGGGCACCTGGGTGGCTCAGTCAGTTAAGCGACTGACTTCAGCTCAGGCCATGATCTCGCGGTCCACGAGTTCGAGCCCTGAGTCGGGCTCTGTGCTCACGGCTTGGAGCCTGAAGCCTGCTTCAGATTCTGTGTCTCCCTCTCTCTGTCCCTTCTCTGCTCTGTCTCTCTCTCTCTCTCTCTCTCTCTCCAAAAAAAAAAAAAAAAAATTATAACTAACTCTGCAGCCTACCTATCTGAGGTTGTGCTAGAGGAACACTCTTTGCTCCTGTGTCCAGGCATTTCTGGAGGATTCTGTAGGCCAGAGGTCAGCTGAATCTGCCTCCAGGAGAGGGTTGTGGCTGCCTTAAGATAACTGCTTACCCAAAGCACTTGTCCAAGGGCCTCAAGGGCAGAGGGCCAGGCCATGCAAGCCTGCAGAAAGGTTGCATGGCTCTTTTTGTGTCTGTTTCTAGAAAGGCCTGGAATGCGTGGAAGCATTCCACCAGAGGCTAGCATTCACTGTGAGATGGTGCACAGGGACCAGAGCTACGCCACCTCGAGCGCCAGAGACCTGGACGCAGCCCAAATAATCAGACTGTTGTGAATGGCCAGATGCCTTAGGTCCACACCCTGAGGATTTCTCTCTGAAAAATTTTCTGGGTCCACGACAGGCTACTGAATGAAGGGAAATAATAACAACCCCAGCATTGGTATTTTGTCTATTTCTGTCTCTGCTCTTTTGCATTTTATGAATTTTATCTTGTTTGCTCCTCAGGTGAGTCCTTGTTTTCCTCACTTGATGGCATTCCCAGAATTTCCAAGAGGGGTGGCACCTAGGTCCTGGGTGGTCGGTAGTACGTCCATGACAAGGTAGCTGCCAGTGGAAACTGAGGAAAACAGGGTCTTGATGGAGCAGAGGGGAGAAAAGACCAGGGGTGGTCCTGCTGAGAAGGGGGTGCTGGGGGAAATCACAGGAGAAGCCTGGGATCCTTTGGGTAAGAGAGGGGTCCAAGGGCCCACAAAAAAGGGGCAATTGGAAGGCACAAAAACAGCGAGCTCTACCTGTGTCCTCTGGGATCTTGGGGGGATGAGCAAAGATTAGGGGTCCATTCATCAGGGGAAGAGCAGCTCCTTCAGACCCTGATGGCCCCTTTGGACTTGGAGACCCCTTCCCTCCCCGCCCTGGGCATGCTTTCCTCCAGCCCTTAGGTCCTTCGCCTGGCCAGCCTCGAGAGACAGGAAGCCCAAGCCAACTGTACTGTGGGCACCACACCCACGGCCTCTTCTGGGAAAGACCAGGCGATTTGCAGAAATTTTCTACCCAGCCAGGAAGACTTTCATTGTCTCATCCAACCTCAAAAGCCAAAGGAGACTAATGAGTCTGGGAAACACTCTGAAGTGTTTGAATGAAGAGAACAAATAAACATAGAACAGAGAAACTTGCCTTAATTACCCCAGGGTCTACACCTACTCCCAGGGGAAGAACGCTGCTCTGGGAGTTACAGCAAGCCTTTCAGAAATTCAGTTAAAGCAACGTGATTCCATGAAAAGCATGTTTGGAGGGGTCCTGGGAGTCTGGACTCCTAATTCTACCAGCAACACTAATGGGCTCAGCGACCATGAGGAACCTCCGTAGGCCTCATTTTTATACACTCTACCTTACCTACTTCCCAGGGTTTTAAAGAGGCTTCAACAATATATGGATGTGAAACCTCTTTGAAAGCGATGAAGTTCTGTACAAACACAAATGATCACATTATATTATTAGCAATCGGAATATTGCACTAATCATATATTCAAGATATATCTCAAAACTAAAGCTCTTATAAGATGAAGCACAGTATATACATGGTTCATTGGTCCTGCATGGCTAAAAAAATATGTTATGCCTTGATTTTATTATTATTATTATTTTACTATTAGTTTTTTTTTTAAGTTTATTCATTTTTTTTTCAACGTTTATTTATTTTTGGGACAGAGAGAGAC